TGTCATTACCAGAGCCTGTGCACAGCACGATAAAGGGGGACCCGGGCGCTCTGCTTGTCGCCGCGCAGGACTGCAACGGCAGCTTCGAGAACATCCCCGTCAAACGGAAGAAGGGCCCGGCACCGAGACTCACGGAGCCGGAACTATGCCGCGTCTGCGGAGACAGGGCGTCAGGGTATCACTACAACGTTCTCAGCTGCGAGGGCTGCAAGGGTGAGTCTTAGGGTATCACTACAACGTTCTAAAAGATGTAGTGTTACTGATATCTAGTGTTACAGGGTATCAAGATATCATTGTGAGCTACAAAGGGATACAAATTTGAGTGTTATGGTATCACTACAACATTCTATAAGTAGTATTTGTGGGTATCAAGCGAATGTCCAGTGTTACAGGGTATCAAGGCAACGTTCAACAAAGTGTACAAATGTCACTGCAGCAGGAGGTGTAAGATGGACATGTATGACACACTCACCTTTCACCTCTGACCCGTGACCCTTGACCCTTGTGTTGCAGGGTTTTTCCGGCGCAGCATCACTAAGAACGCGGTGTACAAGTGTAAGTACGGAGGGAAGTGTGAGATGGACATGTACATGAGGAGGAAGTGCCAGGAGTGCCGACTCAGGAAGTGCAGGGAGGTCGGCATGCTCGAGGAATGTGAGTCATTTCTGTTGTTTGTTTGTTTGTTTGCCTGTTTATCTGTTCCTGTTTTTGCCACTTATTTGGTTGGTAAGTGTAACAGATCAAGGAGCTTTGGGTAGGCCTAATCAGCCCCAGTGAGACCTTATGTTACATAGAGAAGTAACATCTTAAGGCTGCATGACTTTTGTTAACACAAACTTCAAGAAGATCTCTCACCTAGAGCTTTCGACCAGTCACTCTGGTCTTCCTCAGTAGACTGACCCAGTGAGGCTTGGAATAAAGTTCAACGTTTTACTATGACTCCTACCAATTTGATTAACAGTTCAAATTTGCCTTGCACTGTTACTAGGGATGAACCATTTGTTTTTTGGTTTTGCGCAGTTTAGTCATAGTCTGCTGAGACTGACTGACATATTATATTATAACCAACACAGATGAACTTTCGTGTTGTAATAATGATTACACTTCATTTCTTTGCTTACTTGTGGTCTGGAAATGACAGTACACTTTGTCATTACATTACAACATAAGTGAATTTTTCCATTGGCAGGTTTGTTGTCTGAGGACCAGATCAAGGCGAAGCGGCTGCGCAGACAGAGCACGGACCCCGCGTCGCCGGCCGCAGCCGCCACACCCACCGCGCTGCCCGCCAAAATGTCGCCCGAGCAGACAGACATCGTGGAACAGCTGCTGAAGGCACAGCGAGAGGTTCTGCATCCCAGCAAGGAGGATGTGGAGAAGGTCACGGTGAGTAGTACGGGAGGGGCCGGGGGAGTCAGGTTGTTCAGGTGTGAGTAGTACGGGAGGGGCCGGGGGAGTCATGTTGTTCAGGTCACCGTGAGTAGTACGGGAGGGGCCGGGGGAGTCATGTTGTTCAGGTCATGGTGAGTAGTACGGGAGGGGCCGGGGGAGTCATGTTGTTCAGGTCACGGTGAGTAGTACAGTCATAACTGGCCATAGTACTAGAACAACGAACAGTGAGATGCTAGACTGAGCACAAACCAACAGATGTAAGAACTCGCCTATACCATTCATAGTTCAACTACTCCACAAGTATGGACTAAAACCCTGACTGCTGTCTTGCTAGTACAGTGTTCTGCATCAAAGTAGTCCTGGAAAGTTACATGTATATTGTCTGAAACCTGTATTTTTGTTGGTTTGTTACTGTTGCGCCTATACAACTTATTTTGAAATGTATACCTGTATTTTTAATCTACCAATGTTTTGTAAATTGGTTAATAATTCAGTTTTTAACTGCAAAGAACCAATAAAACCATGTTGAATCTTGAATATTATGATTTTTTTTTTCATGCCCAGCCGTGGCCGAACGACTCTGACCAGTCTAAGGAGGCAGCGGAAGCGAGGTTCTCCCACTTCACAGACCTGACCATCCTGGGCGTCCAGGCCATCGTAGAGTTCTCCAAGAGAATTCCCGGCTTTCTGAGACTCACTCGGGAGGACCAGATCGTACTCCTGAAGTCATCCGCCATCGAGGTAAGGAAACTGCCTTGTGTCTTATCTTGGCGCAAGAGGAAGGTTTAAGAAGTAGGCTTAAGGCAAAGTACCATCTCGCCATACTAAATTTCAGATCATCCGCCATTCTTTTCAGGTAAGGAAACTCTCGTGTTAGACAATAAGCTTATAGAAAGCAGTTACTCAAGCAACTGGATATGATTTTGGAAACGGTCAGACGTTTCAGGTAGCATCCACTACCTTTCATCAGTGACACTGGAGAGTTGTCAGAAAAGCAGGTTTATAAGTATGAACTATAATATTGATTGATATGCAAATACATGTAAGTGAAGACAAACTTTTTGAAAGTCCAAGAGGAAACAAAAGTTAGACAAGTCAAGACAAGGATGAAACTCTCTTTTCTTATCTTGCTGCAAGAGGGCGGTATGTAAGAAGTGGCATGTGCACCACCTTGCTGTTTAGTTAAGTATTACAGCTGACAAATGTGTGTTCTGTTGCAGATCCTTGTTCTGGACGTTGCCAGGAGATACGATGAGAAGATGGACATGTTGTATTTCTGGAATGGACTGCCCTACAGCAGACATAACTTTAAACACGCAGGTAACGAAAATAAAAAAAAGTACTTAATGTGTTGAATACAGTCTGAAGCTTGCAAAAATTACAGTGAAGTAAACGTCATAATTTTATATCTTTAGAGGTATCCGATACAATTTGAGGGAAGCAAAGCAAAATATATTCTGGGTGTGGAAATATGCATGATATTGACATTTACTGCCATATCCTAGCACATTTGTGTGATCATTTCTTGCTTGAAGTGTTTGAAATGGCCCAACAATGAGGTACATACATGTATGTACTTGTTTTAGAATTCTAATTTTTCTAAAAGAGCCAAGTCTTGGACTCAAAAAGAGAAGCATGATACTGTCTTTTATCAACCAACTATTTTCCAAAAACTATTAGGAAGGCTTGTTGTGAATAAAATGGTGAATTTCTGAGGCAAAAGTGTTTGTCTAGCGGCGACTGGACTAACTCGTTATGTCCGCAGGGCTTCGCGAGCTCGTTAACCCCATGTACGATTTCGCCAAATCCATCAAACCCGTCACTATCGACGACACAGCGTACGCCCTCCTGGCCGCTATCATCGTGTTCTCCCCAGGTAGGTCTAGGGGGCCTTGATTGACCAACCTAGGGGGCCTTGATTGACCAAACTTCTTGTGCTTTGCAGGCTTGACTGAACTGGTTAATCCGATGTATGATTTCTCAAAGAGGATCAGGAATGTTCACATTGACGATACCGCATATGCAATCTTGGCGTCAATCATCGTGCTATCTCCAGGTGGGTGCTATGGGGCCTTGTGTGCATGGTGGCTAGCCATGCAGCAGTGCCGCCTTGTGGTGCAGTGAGGAACTGCACCCCAGCTCTGCTTATCCAGACAAATTGCACAATAATGCATGATGGAAGGTTTTAACAATTTACGGAATAAAATTCGCTGAAAAATTCTGTAAGCAATCTAGATAATCAGAACTGGAGTGCATGTGGCATGTTTAGTCTTATTTGTTAATGTTCCTTCTTCACCGAGTCTACAAGATTCTAACAGCTATATATATAACTACAGGCATACCAAAAGGGTTAAGTTGTGTTTGAATGTTTGTTGGTAACGTTAACATTAAAAACATGACCAGAAAATTGACTTTGAAAATCCAGTTTTGTCAGGAATTTCAGTACGGTAAAATTGGAAATATTGTGAATAAAGCAATGTTGACACATTAGCACATTAGATTTTGCATCAGAATTCTATACTTTGGGTGTCTTAAAACAGTGCAGAAACAAGCTCTAAGTTGACTTCTTTATTAACTGAGTTGACAAGATTCTTTGAAGAAAATAGATGTAAATTTTGACTTTGAAAATCCTGTTTTTGCACCATGGGACACCTTTAAGACGTTATTTGACCCCCCCTCCCCAGACCGAGCGGACGTTAGCGACCACCAGACAGTTGAGAAGATGCAGGAGGTTTTCCTGGAGACGCTGCAGGCCTACATCAAGACGACGATGCCTCACGACCGCCTCCTCCTGCCCCGCATCCTCATGAAGCTCACCGACCTGCGCGCCATCAACAACACCCACTGTGAGCAGCTCCTCGCACTCAAGGTGGAGAACCACAAGATTCCACCCCTCCTCTCAGAGATATGGGACGTTCCACAGTAGCCGCGGCCAACCAGCAGGCTCGCATCGGGGGAGTAGACTTCACCGTGGGGGGAAATCTTTACATATGAAATTCGTCCTTCCAATACTCCAAAATTGGGGAGAATGTTATATTAGCTATGTACAGAATTGTCACAGGTTAATTTTTCGAGACTCTTTCCGAGTTTTTGTTTTGTCATATTATGTCCTTCCTGTGTCTGTGTTTGATTCCGTATCTTTTTATCGAGTTCTTTTCTTGTGTGTAAAAAAAAAGGTGCTGTCTTTTGAATATCCAACCTCATAGGAGTACCGAGCACTTTCCTCGGAGCGTACAGGTGTCAAGACCTCAAATAAGTCAAGATTTCACTCAGATCAGAACCAGTTTTACAGCAGCTGCAGGGCTTCTGACTTTTTTAGCGTGTTTTGGACATTTTGTTGCTTGTTTTCGATATCTTTCAAATGATGTGGGTTTTTCACTGAATGCCTTGCTTAAAAGCTCACAGTTGTAAGGCAGATTGTTCAGTGGACGACTTATAGTGCTTAAGAAAAAGTGGCAAGAAATGTCCAAAAAAGAAGGCCTGAAATGTCAGAAGTCATGAGTTTGCTTAAGTGTTGTAAACTTTACCCCATGTGTAGCTGACACCTGTAAAATGTCTGTTAATTCAGCTCAAAAAATCGTAACTTCAACCGTCATTCGTAGTTCCGTCAATACAGGGCTAGTAGTTTGTGTTCAATGTTCAACATCTCTAATTTCTCCTCATCAGTCATTTACAGTTTTTCAGTAGAACCTTGGCTTCAGTAGTGATGTAAGAAAAACGATCAAACTTTCAACCATTGGACAGTTTTTCACTATTTTTCCTGTCTTATACAAATCTGCTGTTTGTTAGAGAAGAAATCAAAACGTGAAATTATTTGACACCTCAGTGTAGGATTTCATCCCGACCCTATTGTAGTATCATTCCACCAAAAACCTCAGTGAAAAACTTAACAGCTCTTCCAAAAGCCTAATGTTCAGACATTAACTTCATACCTGGGTGTTTGGCTGGTTGCCCTTGGCAACAATCACCCTGGCAACGCTACATGTATACAGCAAAGGGGACAGAAATGATGGGAAAAGGAAGTAATTTTTTTTTTTATTTTGCGTGGGAACCTCCATGGAAATGACAGACTTATTGTAAATATGGAACGAATCAGTGTCAAGTTGTAACCACCCACACACCCCTTATTTGCGGCAATGGTACAGTCCCATGACCTTTGTACCCTCCAACAGAAAGTGCTCCTGCTATATTAATTATATCTGCTGTTATTTTTAAAAAGAATGAAATTATAAATATCTATTAGCTGTTCTGTTCTATGTATTAATCTTGTATCTTACATTATGAGTGGTTGTTAGTAAATTAGGAGACTATATGAGAATGGACTAAAGCTTGTATTGTACATATTTGAGATGAAAGGCGTATTTTGGGGCGTGAAAATTTGTTAGGGGTGTCTTGCAGAACTGGAATTGCACCACAATCAGCTGAACTCTGGTAGGAGACCCGGATTGTACCACCCCTCTACAGGGGTGTGCGAGAGAGATGACAGAACCTGTGTATAATGCAAATTTATTCTAATGATGCCAGATTGAGCGAGGATATATATAGGAAATAAGGTGGATATAGATGGATCGTTGAACAAAAAAAAGTGTGAATAGAAGAAAATGAGTAGTTTTGTAAAATAAGAAATAAAAAAAATTCTGTCAAGACCCCCCTACAGATAGTGGTTTATTCTGCAAAATATACCATTAACCATCATCCATGGGAGGTGTGAAACACCGATTTAGGGGGGGAAGGGTTGGCTTTGTAAAAGCCAGGTCACAGAAATCTTATCCTACTAATAAACAAGAAATATTTTCACTTGGTAAAGTACAATATAGTCTATCTATACATCTACTTGTTTCTACACCAATGATTTCTTGTATTGCATCTTGACTGTGAAAACTGTACATGTGACATCTAATGTGAAATTTGGTTAAGAATCACAACTACAAGTATTACTATTACTACTACTGTTATTATAACTTACCCTAGACTTTTATAAAGGGCGTTATGAAATGATGTGATACAAAACTACATGTAAAGGAAGTTCAAGGCCAATCCACACATCCCTGGTCCTACAGAATTATAAATCAGTGCTTTTCCAACATTTCTGGGCTAACCTGTTTTCCTGTATATGTATTAAAGGTGATGATTTCGTACCAAAGTTGTTTTTCTTGTGAATATTATAATACAGTTATACTGATTTCTCTGGGAAAGTTTGCTGTGTTTTTCTTAAGAGTTTTGTTTGTAGCCTTTTACTCCTACTTTAGTACTTTATTTCTTCCATTGGTAAACTTACAAGTACAAACAGACAAGTATGTTGCTAGTCTTCCTGGAGTAACAGACATGCATCATACAAACTACATGTACATCAAAACTGAAAATTATTTACATACATCACATAACTTTACGTTTTAAAAGTTGATATTTGACAATATAATTGAAAAAATGTCTATATAGTGGTTTTTCCTTCCCAGCAAATTTTCGAACCAAAATAAATTGATAATCTCCTTTTTTTTATTGCTCGTCATTGCACCTTGCAGTATTACCGTGCATAAGCGCTCCTAGCGAGCAAAGGCGGTACTACTGGTATCACATACCAGTACTTTGAAACAGAAGTTGAGATTTAATTTTCCGTAGTTGACGGTTCCTGTTTAAAGCAAATTGAGTATTTGTCTTTCCAGCCCATTCCTTCGATTTTTCAAATATTTTTTTATTAGAAACCGTCAACATTTATATTATAATAAAAAGTTGCATTGTCATAACAGTTACCGAGAGGACCCTACGGCCTAAACCCGAGTGGTATGCCCCGATAACCTTTGACACGTAAACACGCTTTGATTAACACGGTGCATGCCGGGATACGACAACATGGCGACTTCACCCAAAACTCCGACTTTCAAGAAAGACAAGAAAGACGAGTCTTTCTTCGACAAAATCAGCGGAACTCTCGCCAGGAAAAAGCACAAGGCGAAAGAGGGTAAGTTTAACTACCAGGCGGTCTAGATCTTTGTACGATCCTTTTCTTTGTGCCGGAAATAACTTTAGTCAAACTTAAGGGCGGAGGCTGTCTGATCGGAAGTTCCACTTCCTGACTTCTCGATTCGATCTCGGTTCAAATTTGCCCCCCGTTTCCTTTCCTAGCGGGTGTATTTATGTCTCTGGCCTGAATTCTGAACCAGGGTATCAAATGTTGCAGTCCGGGGCCGGTCCGGGCGCGGAGCTATGAATAGAAGACGAGTTCATATCGATTTCGGCCGTGGAAAATACCGGCCATATTTGTGATGGCATTCCTGGCATGTCGGAGGGTAAACATGGGGGTTCCGCGGACACCGGAGAGGACTGCCGAAACCCGAGATGTCTTCTCTTGACCTTGGTTGATCAAGGACGTTCTTGGTTTGACAGATTCTAGAGTTGAAAGCTTGTTACTGTTGACCACACCCCTCTGTTGTAAGTTACATGTTAGAAGATCTGTTATCAACTCATTCAACCAATTAATCACCTAATTTGGCTAATTGATTAATCCAAACAAGTCTTAATTAACAGTCAATACACCATGGATTACACTGTCACAAGTATCAAATATCAACATCAAGGGTATGACTCAGAGGTCAAGGATCAAGGAAAGCAGGGTTGGACAAGTCCCATAATGCCCACTTGCCCAGGGCAAGTAAAAGTACAGTTCAGGCAAGTAAATATCCCCCTGTATGTACTTTCCTGATTGGGAAAGTAATTTTTTCTGGATGCGAAGTATAGCCGCTATGGTGTTTGGAGCAAATTACTTATCATTTTGCCATAATGATATTATATTCTTTTGTCAGAAAATCCACCTTTCTGATGATGAATGAATCTCCCCCTAACTGCCAGCATCCCCCCAGGGATCAGCGATTCACCCCTGACCCTCACTGATTAAATGTCAGTTTGATGATCTCTAAAGCATCTTTATGACACACAATGTCCAATCGTCACCCCCAACACACCCTCATTAACACTTGAGAACAGGTCATCCAACGCCAAAATAGACCTGACATTTCCAGTGACCTGTTATCCCCCATACGGGCCCTCGGCCAGCCTCCCGGTTGAGGCGACAGTGAGAGATTCGGCCGTGCGAACAGAAACAGACGACAAAATGTCGTGTTTCACCACCCACGAGGCGAAAGAGACCGAAGAAGACGACAAAAAGGTCTTCAAGAGACACAAGACGACTTTCTCGGAACCTAAAGATGACAAGGACTGGAGAGAGAGGGAGCGAAAGAAGGAGAAAGAGAAGAGGAAAGTCTACCGAGACGAAGGTTTGACACATCTGACTCACGTTCGGGCGGGGGTGACGGGAACGCTTGCGTGGAAACTCCGTCGTAAAACCAGCCTTACGAGGTCCTGTCTTCTTGGGTGGGGGTCAATTTCTGTGAGGCCGTCTCCAAAATTTCCCTCCCAACCTTAAATTTCCCGGTTTTACCAAAAATCATCCATTTTCAAAATTACCTTGGCATTATCCTATAGTCGATTCTTGGCACGTTGTACTGAAATTTGTTTACTGTTTTGGGTCACAATGTTGCCGTAACGTGTTCCATATCCGAAGCCCCCCTCCCCCTCCGAATGCCCCCCTGTAAACCCGTGCCAGACATAACCAAACTGTAGTGCTGAAGACAAACAGGTTTATAAATACACACAGACAGAGCTCGAGCAGGCAATGGGGCGGACGCGGGGAGGTGGTTATGGCTTCTCTCGCCTGTGGATTCTGTACCTCCCAGAGAGGATCGTACTACGGTAGGTTCCGCCGGCCATGTATCGATCCGTCGCGGTCGAATGACTCCCATAACGAGCTGGAGATTGCTTCGGCATCGCCAACCCCAAGGGGGTTGTGGGAAATGGAGTTAGAATTATTTAGAGGACAGTGCTGATGGTGAGACTTCTGTGTCCTGCTGATGCCCTTAGCCATTACTTAGCCATACAAGTTAAATTTGGTACCAACAACATTGTGGAGTAATGCTGTATGTGCTGTTTAGTTTTAAACACGACATTGTAAACCCTATTAACATATCACAGCTATAAATGAGCATGAGAAGCATTACAAACATGTTTTCCATGTGATGCCTTACGTCTTTATATGTTTTTTTTGTGCAGTAAACGAGCTCCAGGAGGAGGGTAAACATGCGATCGATGACCCGTCCCTGTCTCCAGACCTCGCCGGGACCTTCATCCTCGGTAAGGCTGTTATTGGTTTGTCTATTTTGTAGAAATTTGCAACATTTGTGCACCAACAATAACAAATCCACAGACTAGTTCAGACTACATTAGTATAACTGTGAACCCCAAGACCCCAACATTTTTGATTTGTGAAGTTTTTTCTATTGTAATACTAGTAACAATGAAAAAAATTGAACAGAATTGACTCACATTATTTCACATTCATTGTTCATCTTAAATCATAGGGAGAGAAAATATGTCTTAGAATTTTACAATGATCTTGACATGTTTTGTCTGTTTGTGATGTTTGATTGTTGCCATGGCGATGTTTGATGGTTGCCATGGAGATGTTGTTGCCATGGTAATGATGGTTTCCATGGTGATGCTGTGTTCCAGATGAGGGTGAGGAGCGGTCCATGATTGAGCCGGCCTCCAGAGACGACCTCAAGTTTAAGGAGCTGCAGAAGGTGGGGACAGTTCTCTAACAGTTCTCTCTCTGGTTTTGTCTGTTGTAAGATTAAAACTGAAACAAAGGGCTGTGAAATCACTGTTGTTGCCCACACCTCCTGATACATGTGCGATGTAGTTGTAAATGAAGCAGTCCATATTCAGGTACTAGTGTTACAACATTAGCTTTTTTTCAAAATTATGTCCACTTTCATTAAGTACAACAGGAACTTTCTGACTAAATTACATCATCTTGTCTTGACTTGTCTGACTTTTGTTTCCTTTTGGATTTCCCATAATTGTCTTCACTTTTTTTTCATATCAATGAACAGTTCGTGCTCATAAACCTGCAATTCTCCTCTGGTCTCTTTAATTAGTATCACTGACGAAAGCTAGTGGATACTAGCTGAAACGTCTGACCATTTCCAAAATCATATCCAGTTGCTTGTCAAGAGTAACTGCGTTTTGGCAGATCAATTGCTATTTATGATGCCACATGTGATCCGTGATCCAGGTGCTGATTGAGTGGATCAACGACACCCTTGTTGAGAACCGGATCATTGTGAAGGACATCGAGGAGGATCTGTTCGACGGCCAGATTCTCGGCAAACTCATCGGTGGGTTTCAAAACAATTTTCGTTTGTGCACAGAAAATAACTTGATTTATTGCTTGCTCAGGTATGAACTTGCTGCAACTAGTCCTGTGTACCTAAACCCACATTTAGATTCATGAACAGATTCAAGTCCAGAGGTTTAGGTTCAGTTCTGGACTCGTAAGATTGGACCTAAACCCATGGCATATACAAAATTGCATGATGGCAACCTTGCAATGTTGTCCACATAACACTGAGGTCGCTACTTAATGATGCCCAATGGCAATGTTTTCTTCGTTTTGCAGCACAGATTTTGCAATCTATGGAAGATTTTAGGTGGTTTGGAAATAATCTTTTCGGGGTTGCCATTACAAATCGGATGGCACCCAGGCTAACAGATTGCAGCTGGAAGTTGGTTATGTTAGTTATGAATTTTGATCCTTTTTTCCAGAGAAACTAGCAGATATAAAGCTGGAGGTAGCGGAGGTTACCCAGTCTGAACAGGGTCAGAAACAGAAACTGAAGACGGTTCTGTATAAACTGTAATGTTTTGTTATTTTTCCAGAGAAACTAGCAGATATAAAGCTGGAGGTAGCGGAGGTTACCCAGTCTGAACAGGGCCAGAAACAGAAACTGAAGACAGTTCTGGACACGACAAACCGACTCCTGAACCTGCCGAGGTGGAACCATCAGCAGAAATGGAGCATGGAGAGTGAGTCAAAAACAGTTACATGTACATCACTCACACAATCTTACTCACATGCCTACACTTAGTACACCAGCAGAAATGGAGCCTGGAGAGTGAGTTAGGAATCTTAAAGTTACAGAAATATTACACACAAAATCTTACTAGTTAGATTATTACACAGAATCAATGCACATACAAACCCACACCAGCAGAAATGGAGCTTGAAGAGTGAGTGGGAAATATTACACACAAAATATAACACACAATTCCAACACTTAGTACACCAGCAGAAATGGAGCATGAAGAGTGAGTTAAATACATTACAGTTACATGTACATCACTCACACAATCTACACCTAGGCCACCAGCAGAAATGGAGCATGGAGAGTGAGTTAGAAATATTATAGTTACATGTACATCACTCACACAATCTTACTCACATGCCCACACTTAGTACACCAGCAGAAGTGGAGCATGGAGAGTGAGTTAGAAATATGTATTACACAAAAAATCTTACACAAAAAATATGTCACAATCTCTCACACATGCCCACACTTAGGCCACCAGCAGAAGTGGAGAATGGAGAGTGAGTACTTTACACTGTCTTACACACTATCCCTGACAATCTCCCACTCACTACACACACTTACTTAGTACACCAGCAGAAATGGAGAATGGAGAGTGAGTTGGGAATATCATCACTGAATATGTCCTACACAATCTTACACACAATCTCCCACACATATCCACACTTAGTCCATGGTGTGTGATCATGAGTCGGAAATCTTACACATAAAAATTCTTAGTTAGATTCTTACACAGAATGCAGGCACATACATGTACCCACACCAGCAGCCATTTCACTCTCTACATGATAACTTAGCAGGGTTCAGGTTAAACTCTATGGATCCAATATTTCCTCCCCTGTACTAAATGTTGTACCCTTACCGTAACTTTTGCTCATTTCCCTGGACTATAATTTCCAGTAATGATTCTCAAAACCAAACTTGGAAGAAAAAAACTAAAAAAAAAAGATATGACATTTCCATGGTGAGTAATGGTGTATGGCATGTTGGTGACCTGTGACCTCTGACCCTGGTGTATGGCATGTTGGTGACCTCTGACCCTGACCTTTGCCCCTTGTTTCCTGTAGTGGGGTGGCGGCAGGACAAATGGAGTGCAGACAGTAAGAACCTTCCTACCACGTTTCCTTCTCCCTCTGTACCCCAAACCCCCCTCCTGTGGCGTGGAGTGTTCCAACGGCACTCAGTAGATATGCACATGTCGGGCTGTACCATTAGCACTGTGGGGTAGTGTGTGATTGTGGCTGGTAACTGCTTATAATGTGGCAGTGTTTTGTATGTGTCGTTAACAGTAGTCAGTTTTTTGGACTAACCTACATGTAAAAATATTGTGTGTTTCATCGAAGGAAAACAGATACTTCAGTTTCATTCATTGTTTCTCAGATTTGGAAAAAATGAAAATTAGAAGATCAACATGAAATGAAATTCTGATAGGAAAGTCTGTGACTAGATATTACACACAGTTTCAGGAAGTGAATGTTGTCAAAGTCAAGTTTTCCGTCCAGCCTTCTGTTTTCATTGAGTCTTCTGCTGAAGTTTTACTTTAAGTTTTACTTTAAAATGTCTGAGAACCATTGAAATAAACTGATGTGGTAAGAAGAACACAGGGTAACAAGCGCAAGGCTAGCGCTCTCCCCAAGCAATGAAGCAAAGGGTGCTCTCCCTCTCCCCAAAATCCTATCACCTCTTCCAAAATGTTCAAATTTAGGGTTTTCTCTTTGTATTTTCCTGAAAATTTGCTAATTTTTTCGTCAACCGATTAGGGAGCACCTCTCCCCTGAGAATTTCTGGGGAGAACCCTGTAAATTAAAGTGTGTGTGCATGGCTTCGTCGTTATCAAACTGAGGGTTAACTGTCATGCGGGTTCTGCCCCCCTCTCCCCCTCTCTGCCAGGTATCCACTCCAAGAACATCGTTGCCATCATCCACCTTCTGGTTGCACTGGCCCAACATTTCCGCGCGCCGATTCGCTTCCCCGAACACGTGTCCGTAAACGTGGTGGTCGTACAGCGGAGGGACGGACAGCTCGCGACGCGCAAGGTCGTGGAGGAACTCACTACCACTAACGAGTTAGTAAAATTGTTTGTTTGTTTGTTTGTTTGTTTTTTCTGTGTAATCATTGGACAGTCATGGAGGAGCTTGTTTGTTGTCTGGTTCAAGCATGTCTCAGTTAAAGTTACTGACTTGTAACGTTTTAGTGTCAACAACCATGTTTATTTGTTGCTTGGTGTAATAATAGATGCTAAATACTAGACCCTCATATGACACTAATGCATACATTGTAAATATATAAACATTGAGAGTTTTATGAAATGTAGGTAAAATTTAAAACATTACAGTGCTTTGTCTCATCATTGTTTCTTTTCTCCTTTTCTTACAGCATGATGCAGGGCAAATTTGGTAAGTTTTGAGACTTTGAATGGTTCGTCTCATTAACATCAATGCAACTTGGAAATATGTTTTCACAACCTGGATATTTTTAGATGGTTAAGTCTTTTGTTGAAATTTGACAAGAAGCACAACTTTTCCCTTGTTTCTAACTTTGTAACTCCCTTGCAGAGCGTGATGCCTTTGACACGTTGTTCGACCACGCTCCTGACAAACTCAACGTAGTGAAACGGGTAAGCTGCCATTCCTGATGTCTCCTCTTAATGTCTGGTATATAACTTATAGCAAACCTGACTACAGGTTATGCTTTGACTAATCGTAGAGTGTCAAGGAGAGTTTTTATTATCAAATGTGGTAGGTAGCGATCCATTAGTAACTTGAAGCAATACCTGTCAGTGTGTGACAGAGCTGACTGGAGGGAGAGAATCTTAAACCAGGCAAGTCCGATATGATGATGATGAGTTTTTGTTCCCAATCCCTGAAGATACTGTCTATATATCAGCTAACTTACAGCCAGCCTGTCTGCAAAACTGCAGATTCTCCTACGACAGCCAAGAGTTAATGTAGAGTGGCTATGCTATTGACCAACAGAGTTGGGAGCTCACAAAAAAGTCAAAAAAGTTACAACGCTAAGTCTTGTTATTATGATCATGACAGTATGAGTAATAGACATACAGGCCTAGGGCTTGTGTGTGAGAAGTCCTCTGGTGTAGTATATGCCTGACTGCATTGATGTCCTCTGGTGTAGTATATGCCTGACTGCATTGATGTCCTCTGGTGTAGTATATGCCTGACTGCATTGATGTCTGACGTCTTCTTTGTCCTTCTCAGTCTCTCATCACCTTCGTCAACAAACACCTGAACAAGATCAACCTGGAGGTCACTGACCTCGACACACAGGTGAGTAACCTACAGGTCATTGACCTTGACACACAGGGATGAGTAACCTACAGGTCATTGACCTTGACACATGGGTGAGCAACCTACAGGTCATTCACCTTAACCTACAGGTCATTGACCTTGACACACAGGGATGAGTAACCTACAGGTCATTGACCTTGACACATGGGTGAGTAACCTACAGGTCACTGACCCTGACATATGGGTCACTGACCTTGGCATATGGGTAACCTACAGGTCACTGACCTGGGCACACGGGTGAGTAACCTACAGGTCATTGACTTGGACTCCTACAGGTCATTTAAGTGCCCCCCATGTGATGACCAAGTGTTGACCAAGTGCCCCCCATGTGACCAAGTGCCCCCCAAGTGCCCCCCATGTGATGACCAAGTGTTGACCAAGTGCCCCCCAAGTGTTGACCAAGTGCCCCCCATGTGATGACCAAGTGTTGACCAAGTGCCCCCCATGTGATGACCAAGTGTTGACCAAGTGCCCCCCATGTGACCAAGTGCCCCCCATGTAATGACCAAGTGATGTGTTTTGCCCCCTGCAGTTTGCGGATGGTGTGTACTTGGTGCTGTTGATGGGTCTGCTGGAGGGATACTTCGTGCCTCTCTACAGCTTCCACCTCACCCCGGACAGCTTCGACCAGAAGGTAACTATGGAAACCACTGTTGGCACTCTCTGGTAACCATGGCAACCACTGATGGTAGCCATGGCAACTACTGCTGGCACTCTGGTAGCCATGGCAATTACTATGGAACAAGCTACCACATTATTGTTTCCCATATGAGTGTAACCTTAACCTTTTCAAGTGTAATGTCAACAAACATCTGTCCTCACTGGCTGTACAGTAAATCAAAACATTTTGAGTGGCTCTCAGGAGCCTTGTTTTGTGGTGAATCATTAAATAAATAAATAAATTTAAAAAAATGTAAAAAAAAACAAAACACTGCTGCTACTATCTGGTAACCATGGCAACCACTTTTTGAAGGTTGTCAGGGAGGGGAGTTGATCGGTCTATATAAAATGTCCTTGGCGTATGAATGCACTGAAGATTTAATGTGTAGTGTCAGCACATTTCATTGTAGTATCAACCCTGAAAAAGCTCAGTCACATTTGAGGCCACAGTCTTCACACTGCAGCAGTGCCATCTAGCTTCAGTGCAAAGTACTGCAGCAGCCAGCTACATGTATTTCTGTATCAGTTGTGTACAGATAACATAACTGTTACCCTGTTGCCGCATCCCCAGGTGCACAATGTGAAGTACTGTAGCAGAGACACCTAGCTGCAGTGTGTAGTAGTGCAGCAGCTGGCTATTTATGTATCAGCTTTGTATAGATAACTGTGTTACCCTGTTGCTGCCCCCCCACCCCAGGTGCACAATGTGCAGTTCTCTCTGGAGCTGATGCAGGATGGAGGCCTCCCCAAACCCAAGGCCAGGCCTGAGGGTCAGTATCATATTACTAACCAACCAATCAATCAATCAATCAATCAATGGTCGATGAAGGTTAGAGTCATAGTCCTAATATCATAGTCCTAATCAATCACAGCCAATCAATCAAGCAATCAAACCATGAATCCAGTTACAAAATTCCACTCTATGCTGCTTCTTATAGTAGAATTCATTCAGTGACATTTTGATGAACTTTTTCTTCAATGCTACTTTCCTTATTTGATAGATCTTGATATTTTTGCCCATTCTACCCGTTTCTTGTTTTTCAGATATCGTGAACCTTGACCTGAAGGCGACCTTGAGGGTTCTCTACAACCTCTTCACCAAGTACAAACACCTCAACTGAGCATGCTCCGTGACCTTTTGATGCAAACACCTCAACTGAGCATGCTCCGTGACCTTTTGATACAAACACCACAACTGAGCATGCTCTGTGACCTTTTAACTACAAACACCACTACTGACCTTGACCATGACCTTTCAGATACTTTTTCTTTGTTATCTTTTTTTAACTACAATTTTTGTATCAGTCACCATATTTATACTGACTGTACATGTATCTGCATTTATACACACATAACAAAAAAATCAGATCCCAAAATGTATTTGTCCTGAAATTTTGACAGGCACTCCTTTATGTTATGTTGAGTGGTCAAACAGAAGATCTTCAGTTTTCTTATATTTTAAAGATTTTTTTTTCAAAGTGCCAAGGTTTTTTTTTATGAGTGTCTTCCAAGCGGGAAAGGTAGTTTTGTGAGCACTAAAAATCATGGTGTCCTTCAGTCAAATTTCAGAAATTTCAAACAATTTGACAGCAAGATGTAAGAGTGAACGATAGTAAGAATGATATCCAATTAATTTTGATATGTAATTTGTACATATAACTGTTACTGCTACCTAGAAGTGTATAGCTATAGCAACGCAAAGTATATTATTTATCATAACCTTACAAGTATCTATCTGCATATGTATTCTACTAGCTTTTATATTTATTCCTACAAAATGATCCTAAAATTTGGCAGTTTTGTAATGTAGAGTTTTGTAGCTAAACAGAAATCCTGTTTTCAGTGCTAGTGTAGACTTTTATAAGTGTAAACATTCCTCCCTAGAATAAACATTGCTTTTGTAACTGTTGTATCTCGAAGCATCAAAGTAAAAGATAAAACACCACCGACTTGTTTGTTTGTTTAAAGATTGTATTCACACATTGATTGATTTATTGAAATTGCAACAGTGCGATACACGCGGGACACAGGCAGCTGCTGCTGGTGTTGTGGAAGATAGGCAAACATCAAAGATGTGCCAACAAGCAAGACCAAAAAATAGATTTTTAAGTCAGTTGCTACAACAAGACAGGACCAAAGGGCTACGATGATAAATGGAGATTTAACCTCCGATATATTCAATGTATTTTGATATAGCGGTCTTGGTAGATATCGTCTGTATAAAGGCGTACCAACAAGCAGGATTGATAAATGGATATCTAACTCTAGAACAATACAGCACAAACAGCCAAGTAGGTAAATGGAGATTTAACCTCCAATACATTCAACAAATTGTTGATAGCAACAACAATACACGGCCAACAGCTCAATTAAGTAAATGCAGATTTAACCTCCGATATATTCAGTGTATCTTGAATACCAGGCTTACAGTAAATTCCTGCTAGGGAGGTAGGCAAACATCGTCTGCATATTTAAAAGGCCTACCAACAAGCAAGACTGATAAATAGATGTTTAACTCGGGCGCTGGAACAATACAGCACCAACAGCTAACTAGGTGAATGGGGATTTAATCTCCGATACATTCAATGGGTTTTGAATAGCTACAACAATACACGGCCAACAACCCAAGCGGATAAATGAGAATTAAACATCCCAGTTCGCTACAACACAACTCAACCTGCTGCGTAGTTACACTAGGATTTGCTACAGGGGAGTTGGATACAGACACTTTTAGACCTGTGGCAGACAACTTACAGTTTCCTGGGATCGGCTTAGATCTGACAACAGAAGATTCTGTTGGGCCAACCTTAACCGTTTAACAGCTACGGACGCCTTTCGCGCCGGGTTTGTAGTGGTTACGGGTTGGAGGCGGCAGGAAGAAGGTTAAACTATCACCAAACAGCCGGCTCGTAAGTGGTTCTTTTTCCCTTTATAGATATATAGAGCTCATAGAATGATGCGTACTATAGTTATGATGAGGACATGGCTATAATAAACAACTTTCGCCGGCATCTGGGGTGATTTCATGTTTTTGATAAACAAAAGATTGCACTTAACAGAGGTATATTTTCTTCACCTTTAAGCGTTTATAAAGTTTGCATAGTATCCGGCCTCTAGCGTATAATTGGTAGTATTGACTGTGTGCGCACAATGCTCATGGAGTTAGACTCGAGTGGTTTTTTTGTCTATTCTGGATTATCATCATAAAGACTAGGCACTATTTCTGGGTCCTACAGAGTCTGGAAAGTTGAAGAAAGGAAGAGAAATGATGAGTTTTTAGCACCGATTCTGTGATTCCAAGTTACAAAATACGTATTAATCTATTATATATAGCTTTACCTTTCTTTTAAAGCTCCACAAAGGTTGTTTCAAAAGATCGGCTCATGTCTTTGTTCGTTCATGAAAGAGTTGCACTTTGTTTTAATATTGTGTTGAGCTTGACATTGATTAATGTCCATTGAAACATCAAAGGCGTCTCCACAACTCACTGCTTGGTTGAAATTCTTGACTTTCTCTTCAGAGGTGCAGAGAACAAGCAATCTGTCAGTAACCTGGTTCTGACGGATTTTAGCAAGGCATTTGATAGAGTCTGCCATACAACTGCTATTACAAAACTTGTACAGATGGGTGCACGACCTTCACTCGTTTCCTGGGTCTGTAGTTTTATCTCGCACCGTACACAACGAGTCCGTTACCAGCAGGTACCAGCAGGTCCTGTCGGACAGGGAACCACTTACCTGTGGGGTGGCACAGGGAACTTTGCTAGGACCCCTGATCTTCTTGGCGATGATTAATGATGCTGGAACACCAAACAGTGAATATTGGAAGTATGTCGACGACCTCAACTTGGGCGAAAACCGACCGATATGCTCACCTTCATCCCTACAAAATGACTTGAACAACCTAGACGAATGGTCGGACAGAAACCATATGCTTCTAAACCCCCAAAAGTGTAAAGTACTGCAAATCTGTTTCATGAAAACTCCTCCCCCTGACCCAGTCCTAACGCTAGGAGGCCAGACGCTTAGTGTGGTGAAGCAAGCACGACTACTTGGTATTCAGATTCAGTCGGATCTTGGATGGGACTCTCAAGTTGACAGTATGGTGTCCAAGGGAAGCAGACGCCTATTTTTCCTCTGTAGACTGCGGCGGGCTAGTCTCCCACCAGACGACCTCTGTGCTATCTACTGCGGATACGTTCGGCCACTCCTTGATTACGCGGTACCCGTCTGGAATGCTGCCCTTAACATCAGACAAGTCAACCGGCTTGAACGGGTTCAAAAACGGGCCTGTAGGATTATGCTTGGCCGTCACTACACTACATACATGGACGCCCTGCAGACCCTGAACCTACAAACTTTGTCTGATCGTAGACACGACCTATGCCTTAACTTTGCAACTAAAATCAGACAATCGTCACGTTTCCGCTCCTGGCTGCCATCGACTAAAGGACAACTACACGGTAGATCGCTAAGGAACTCTCTCCATTACTGCCAGGCCAAGGGCACTAAGCGCTACACAACCAGCGCGATCCCTGCACTAGCAAAACTCCTGGTGGGACTACAAGCTTCTTAACTGCATTTTTAATCGGGCTGGACCCTAATCTCAGTACTGTTGATTGTTTATTGTGTCAATTCGAATTCTTACCGCCAATTGTACATATCCTTAGCGCTCGTACCAGACTAACTTTTAAACTTCAAGACTTTCAGCTATTTTAATGTAGAACGACAGTAGTGATTTTATATTCGTGAGAAATTATATTGTTTTAATTATATTGCTATAATAATATGACGACGACGGTTTTTATAAATTTTGTATATTACAAGTGTAAGTTGCCCTTTTATATCTACTAGTATTGTATAATCCTATAAGTTGTAAATATCAGCACAATTCAGTTTTTACTGCAAGTCTGATATGTTCTTTGCTCTTTTCAATAAACCAATCACTACATTGAGGTTTACAACTGTTTGCTTATCACAACGCACCTGCCAAAATCTAAGGTCTATGTTAGAGGCGCCTTGTACAGCTATAGTAGTAGGGATGGGATCTCGACGCCACACAAATACGAGGCAGTCTGCCATATCGGATTTAGACAAATAGCTAAACTGATTTGATGCATCATTCAGACAACATTTGATTTTACAGATGATACTAGGATGTAGCTCCAAAATGTGTATGACCAGTACATATAGCGGTATCTTGAAATGTGCTGGTATTAAAAATATGCAATTTACCTATAGTAAGAGTATTATTAATTTAGAAAAGTAACTTTACTTAATGTAGCATTTAGAACAATATAGGCGGCTCCAAATCAAGTTTTGGTGCAATGTAGTGTGTTGATAATTAGTACATGTACATGATATAGACTTTTTAACAATTGTACAGGGACAACTACGTCACAACAAGATGAAATGGTTGTTGGTTCTGCTGCTGATCCTCCTGAAGGAAGCTGGCCCGACCGCAGCCTGCAGCAGCAGCTGTTCATCAGTCTGTGACTGCAGCAACAGAGGCCTCACCAGTGTTCCTCAGGACCTGCCGACAACCATCACTAGGCTGGACTTGGAGAATAACGCAATCACAACCTTAAGTCAGTCCGACTTCTCCAGGTACACCAGTCTGGAAAGATTATATCTTCAGAACAACCAGATCTGCACAATCAACAGCGGAGCGTTCTACAACTTAGCAAGGTTAACTTTCCTGGGCCTTAGCGATAACCAGTTAACAACCATCCAAGCTGACATGTTTTGGGGACTTAATAATTTGGGGGTACTTTATTTGTACCGCAACAACATCCACAGTATTGACGCAGGGACCTTCAATGCTACACCGCAACTCAACTGGCTTATGCTCGAAAACAACAACATCAGCACCATCGCAACTGGCACGTTTGTAAATCTGCCCAGCCTTACTATTTTGAAACTTCAATATAACCAGTTAACCAGGCTCCGATCTGACATGTTGGTAGGACTTGATAACCTGGAGAGCATTCACCTGCATGGCAATAACATCCACAGTATCGAGGCGGGAGCCTTCAATGCCACACCTCAACTCAACTGGCTTATAATTGGTAGCAACGACATCAGCACCATCCCAGCTGGTACTTTTGTAAATCTGCACCAGCTGGACTCGCTGGACCTTGGTGGTAACAAGATAACCAGTCTCAGATCTGACATGTTTGTAGGACTGGATAACTTGCATTCTCTATCACTAATTCGCAGTAACATCCACAGTATCGAGGCAGGAGCCTTCAATTCAACACCGCAACTCCGCACGCTTCAACTTCACTACAACAACATCAGCACCATCGCGGCTGGCACATTTATAAATCTGCCTCAGCTGGAAACGCTCTACCTTTCTGACAACCGCATCAACACTTTCCCTTCTGACCTCTTATCCAATTTGAACATTCCACGGCTATCACGCCTTTGGCTGTATAGTAATCGAATGGAGACGCTACCAGCCATGGCGTATGACAAACTGACTTCTGTCTCAACAGTTGACATTAGGAACAACCCCTGGCAGTGTGACTGCAGGATGCTTCCCTTTAAGCTAAGAATGAACGGGTCTTATCCCTTTGAGAGCCAGATCACATGTGCTGGACCACCTAACCTTGCATGGAAAAGCTTACTACAGGACGTCAATCCTGACGATCTGCGCTGTGAAGAGACAACAACTGAACCTACCACAGCCCACAACTGCAGCTGTTCATCATGGTGTGACTGCAGCTACAGAGGCCTCAGCAGTGTTCCTCAGGACCTGCCGACAACCATCACTAGGCTTGGTTTGGAGGGCAATAACATCACAACCCTAAGTCAGTACGACTTCTCCAGGTACAGCAGACTGACAAGGTTAGATCTTAATTCAAATCAGATCTCCGTAATCAACATTGGGGCGTTCTCCAGCTTAGCCAGGTTAACAAGCCTGAACCTTCATGATAACAAGTTAACAACCATCCAAGATGACATGTTTGTGGGACTTCAGCGCTTGTGGTACATTTACCTGTCCAACAATAACATCCACAGTATCGAGGCCGGAACCTTCAGTAACACCCCGCAGCTCCTCGGGATTAGCCTTCCGAACAACAACATCAGCAACATCGCCGCTGGTACGTTTGTAAATCTGCACAGGCTTACGTCATTGGACCTTAACTATAACCAGTTAAACCGACTCCGATCTGACATGTTTGTGGGACTTAATAGCCTGGAAAGGATTTATCTGGATGACAACAACATCCACAGTATCGAGGCAGGAACCTTCAATGCCACCCCGAACCTCTACTGGCTTATAATTGGCGGCAACGACATCAGCACCATCCCAGCTGGCATTTTTTCAAATCTGCCTCAGCTGGACACACTGACCCTTAGCGCTAACAAGTTTACAACTCTTCGATCTGACATGTTTGTAGGACTGGATAACCTGCATTCTCTATCACTAATTATCAACAACATCCGCAGTATCGAACCCGGAACCTTCAACGCCACCCCGCAGCTCCGCACGCTTCAACTTCACTATAACAACATCAGCAGCATCGCGGCTGGCACATTTATAAATCTGCCTCAGCTGGAAACGCTCTTCCTAAATGACAACCGCATCAACACTTTCCCTTCTGACCTCTTATCAAATTTGAACATTCCACGGCTGTCAGACTTTTGGCTGTATAGTAATCAAATGGACACGCTACCAGCGATGGCGTATGACGTACTGGCCTCTGTCTCACGTGTTTTCATTTACAGCAACCCCTGGCAGTGTGACTGCAGGATGCTTCCCTTTAAGCAAAAGATGAACGGGTCTTATCCCTTTGAGAGCGAGATCACCTGTGCCGGACCACCTAACCTTGCATGGAAAAGTTTACTACGGGACGTCAATCCGGACGATTTGATCTGTGAAGAGACAACAACAGAACTTTCCTCCACCACCTCATCGGTTGTTCATCTAGCTACCCAACTAGCTACCCAACCAGCTACCCAACCAACTACCCAACCAACTACCCAACCAACTACCCAGCTAACTACCCAACCAACTACCCAACTATCTACCCAACCAACTACCCAACCAACAAACCAAGCACCTACCCAACCAACTACCCAACCAACTACCCAACCAACTACCCAGCTAACTACCCAACTAGCTACCCAACCAACTACCCAACCAACTACCCAACCAACTACCCAACCAACTACCCAACTAGCTACCCAACCAACTACCCAACTAGCTACCCAACCAACGACCCAACTAGCTACCCAATCAACTACCCAACTAGCTACCAAACAAACTACCCAACTAGCTACCCAACCAACTACCCAACTAGCTACTCAACCAACTACCCTGCCAACTACCCAACCAACTACCCAACTAGCTACCCAACCAACTACCCAACCAGCTACCCAACCAACTACCCTGCCAACTACCCAACCAACTACCCAACCAACCTCCCAACCAACTACCCAGCCAACTACCCAACCAAGTACCCAACCAACTACCCAACCAACTACCCAACCAACAAACCAACCACCTATCCAACCAACAAACCAACCAACTACCCGACCAACTACCCAACCAACTACCCAACCAACTACCCAAACAACTACCCAACCAACTACCCAAGTGGCCCAACCAACTACCCAACCAACTACCCAACCAGCTACCAAAGCAATAACCCGACCGACCATCCAGCCAACTACCCAACCAACTACCGTAACAACTGACCAAGCAACTGGTTGCGTCCACTTCTCACAAGTCTTCCTCGCCGGTTTTCTAGGCGTCGTCATTGGAGCCGTTCTCACCTCAGCCCTGTTTGTTGTGATTTGGTGCAAGAAGCGAAGAGCCAAAACGAGCCCTGCCCCTGTACCGGACCCCAGTGATGTTTCGAGCAACCCAAACGGCGCCGCTACCGGCCCGACCGGCGGCCGGCATCACACAGGGCAGGGCGCCTCACCGTCACGGGCAGCACATTCTGATGACGGAGAGAGTCGACCAGGAACATCAGGGACGGTCCCGCCTCCGCGCGGCCTGGATAAGAGTTACGCGGTTCTGCGGGCTCCACTCCCGCCTATAAAGACAGCGGGACCACGAGGTGATGTCCGGAACGTGCCAGAAGCTGCACATGGTGACGCTGCTGCGGACATCTCCGTCCCTCTCAGCAGGCATTTCATCTATCAGCAAACCTGCCCGTCTGGTCTGCCCAAAGGTCTGCCTGGTCTGTAGACAAACAACAAGCTGAGGAAATCACAAGGAAACAAGAAATCGGACCGGGCTCGCGATCCCTTAAGAACCGCAGCAGACATTGAAATAGGAGCGCAGTGCAAAATTGACAAATATCCAAGCTACAGGTGAAACCAGAATATGCCTTGGACTTCATGCAAAATGGGATTTTCTACGATATTGACAAGACCGAAACGTTCACACAGTTTTACTTTCATCTTTTACTACCATGATTGAGTCTGCAGCTATATATAAACCGAATTGTGTTTTATTTGTTGTGATGTTTACGTGTGACTTTAGAATTCACTTGCGATGATGTGTAATGATATATGTATTTAGCATGTATTACTTTGTTCACTCCTTGTAAAATATTTTAGCAGTTTGTTTAACAATGTAATCTGCAAATCTCACTTTGCATGATTTGATGTGTTTTATGTATTACTGTGATGTTTGTTGGAGACTTAAAACTAGAATCACTTGTGTGAGGTGGAATGATGTATTTGAATTGTTTTAGAATGATGTAAAGCAACCAATGCTGCACTGTGTGTTACCGTTTTCAGGTGTTTGTTTTAGGACGAAAGTAGCAGCTAGGACTACAACTTGGGCATCTTTCCAGATTGTTTTGTGTGTCGCTGCCATTGTTGTCATGTTGTCTGTTTGAAATATTGAAATAAATCCACTTTTGTGTCATTATGTCTAAATCTGTTTATTTCTCCCGAGTTTTAGCATCTGTAGTAATCTTTAGTTGAATAGGTATTCATAAAACAAATATAAATATCTTTATTCTGCACGCATACCTTCTGGGTTAGGTACCGGTAACATGACCAGGTTGCCACGAGGAATGTCTTACTTTTGCGCCGCCTGGCGGAACAGACGGGAACTGTGTGATGTTTATCCGGTATTAAGTTCTCTTAGAAAGAAATCAAAGCTGGCAAACTTCACCCTCCTACTCATAATGCGATGTGACCATTCAACAGATCACGTAAGTAGCCCTCAAGGCGTGTGATCATGCTCCAATGCGTGTATTGGTAATGGCAGAAACATATCAATGCAGGTAGGCCCATAGACAAAACAAGACTTCACTTCCTTAGGGTGAAGGACACTGGTATCAAACAATCTCAGTGTACTTTGAATAGCAGGTTTGGAATAAATTGCAGGCGGAGGAGGTTGGCAAACATCGACTGCATCAAGGCGTACCAACAAATAATCAGATAAATGTATATTTAACCCAGAAGCTACAACAATACAGGACCAACAACTAAAGTAAATAAATGGAGATTTAACCTACGATATATTCAACGTATGTTGAATAGTAGGCTTGCCGTAATTGCAGCCATGGAAGGTAGGCAAACATCAAAGATGTGCCAACAAGCAAGGCAAAAAATAGATTTTTAAGTCAGGTGCTACAATAAGACAAGCCCAACAGCTAAGTAGATAAATAGTATCTTAAATAGCAGTTTTGCCGTAAATGCAGGCGGTGGAGAAAGGCAAAAGCATAAACAAGGCATACCAAAAAGCAGGACTGAATTTAAACAATACATGATCTACCATTTTCCCTACGATACATTCAATAAATTTTTGATAATGAGCTCGGTATTATTGCAGCCTTGGGAGGTAGGTAAACATGGTCTGTACGAAGACGTACCAACAAGCAGGACTGATAAATGGGTATTTAACTCAGGAGCTACAACAATACATGGTCAACAAACAGGGTAAATAAACGAGAATTAAACAACTTAGGTCGCTACAACACAACACAACCTGCTGCGTAGTTACACCGGGATTTGTTCCGGGGGAGTCAGAGACAGACCTAGACAAGACCTGCGGCAGACAACTTGGAGTTTCCTGGGAACAGTTTAAATCTGACAAGTGAAGATTCTGTTGGGCCAACCTTAACCCTCTCTCAGCTACGGACGCCTTTGTTTGGTGCCGGGTTTTTATTGTTTACGGGGACGGAGGCAGCAGGAAGAAGGTTCAACTCACTAAGCAAAACACTCGTAAGTGGTGCCTTTTGTAAATAAGTCATAGAAGGATGTCTGTTATTGTTAGGATAAAGACTAGGACATGGCTGATCATCTTCTCTGAACAATCGGCATTTGAGGCAATTTTATATTTTTGATAAAGAAAACGTTGCAAGTGACAAGAATTAGCTTCTTCACCTTTCTATATACATACTTACCGTTTACAGAGTTTGCACAGCATCAGGTAGCCGTTATCGTCTGCGTTGGATGTGTGTTCACAGTTCGAATGGAGATGGCCTCAGGTGATTTGGGCTGTCTCGATCGTCATCATTAAAACTTTGCAGTATTGCTGGCTAATGCAGAGTGGAAAGTTGAACTGTAGAAGAACAAGGACAGAAAATATCCCCTTTATTGACTGACCAGAATCGGAGGACTGTAAACAACTAAACTGAATGCATGTACCTTTCTTTGTCAGTGGTGTGGCTATGATTATCAAGCTGATAGAGTAAGTTTCTATGTTGCTTAATAAAAAAAGTAAACTGATGTGTGCGAGTTTTCAGCGCTGTTCCTTTGATTCCATGTAAAGCTGTGTATAATTACTAGGCGAAACAACAGATGCTATTTTACCTATTTGCAAGGCTCACAGGTTGTTTGAAAAATTCGGATCGTGTCTTTGTTCATACGATGAAAAGAGTGACCCTTTGTTTGCTTCGCATTGATAAATGGCATTGAAATACGAACTTAACAAGCTCTTATCACAAAGGAACTGCCTAAATCAATGTATATGTCACTTGGTACAACGACGTTTGTTTGATATTAATGCCTGCTAAAAACTAAATGGGCAAACTATTCGTTTAACATCGTTTAATCAACATTGAAGTTTTCACTCGATGCCAAGGTACAGATCTCATATTTCTTATTCAAAGAGAGCAAAACTGTTTGATACAACATTCAATGGTCTTGACCTTTTAAGATTAGGTAAAATGTAGTCGGCGAACAAATCGAATTTCTCATGGTACAAAATCTAGGATGGAACTTGTTAGCATTATATATGTGTTGCCGGACTGAACCCTCATCTACTTTCTCTCTAATAGGTAGCCACAAGATGAGGATGCTGTTGGTTCTTAATCTTCTGCTGATTATCCCGAGGTCAACTGCACAAACCAATGCTACAGTACCACTGTATACTTTAGGAGCAGGCGGCGCAGCCACCGTCGCCCCCGGAGCGTTCTGTAACAGCTGTTCATGGTGGTGTCCATGCAGCAACATAGGACTCACCAGTGTTCCTCAGGAACTGCCTACATACACCATCGAGCTTTACTTGGGTTACAACGTCATCACAACCTTAAGTCAGTCCGACTTCTCCAGCTACAGCAGTCTCAGAGAATTAGATCTTCAATACAACCAGATCTCCGTAATCAACAGCAGAGCGTTCTACAGCTTAACCAGGTTATATACCCTGGACCTTAGTGGTAACCGGTTAACCAGTCTCCGATCTGACGTGTTTGAAGGACTTGATAACTTGCGGTATCTTTACCTGGATCACAACAGCATCAACATTTTCCCTGAGGCCTTATCACTTGTAAATATTTTAACCATAACGATGCACCACAACCAAATGACCACCCTCCCGTCAACAGCATACGACATTCTGGCCTCCATCTCATATGTTGACATCAGCAACAACCCCTGGCAGTGTGACTGTCTGATGCTTCCCTTCAAGCAAAAAATGAACGGGTCTTATTCCTTTGAGTACCAGATCACCTGTGCCGGACCTGCTAACCTTACAGGGAAACGCTTACTTGAAGCAAATCCTGAGAACCTTATCTGTGAGGAGACACCTCTCATTGAATCGCTTCATCTGATCAGCGGTTTTCTGGGCGTGGCCGTCGGAATCCTTATGACTTTGGCCGTTTTCCTTGTCATCTGGTATAGAAAGAGAAAGAGAAAAACCAGTCCTGTCCCTGCCCCAGACACACCACAGGTCACAACCAGGGACGGTCATGACGTCACGGGAACAGGTGCAGCAGAGTCTGATGACGTAGAGCGTGCCCTTGACCCGGAACCTTGTGACCTTGACATCGGTTACAGGCTGGTGCGCCCTTCCCTTCCTCCCATAGATGGAACAGGTGATAGTTAGACTGGTAACCAGAAGGTTAATGCACCTGCATGTGGGGATGATACTCGAGTTTGGTCATCAGCAAAATAGCCATCAAAATATAACTACTCACTGTTCAAATAGAATGGAATTGTCTTGCTCTAGGACTGGAAAGTTCAAACTGTTGTCATCATGATCAGCATAACTGCAGTTATGATTTCGACTTGTTACAGACTGTACGTTGTATCATTTGAGAAAAACTGGAAATGTGTATGCAAAGTTGTGATGTTTGCGTGAGACTTTAAAACAGACCTACGACATTATACATGTACACTGTGTGGAAGAACTACGACGTTTGCAACTGTGACTCCAGCTGGCAACAAGCTTTAGTATCTTTCGAGAAAAAATTGAGTTGCATTTTCTATTGCTTTGATGTTTGCTTGAGTGCTAGTGGTAAACAAACGTACGTTATCAGGTGTTTAAGTTTTCCTGTGCTGTAAAACAGCCAGTACTGTACATTGGTGTTAATGTCACGATGGAAGCTATAATTATGACTAAAGATTTGAAACCTTCCTACTGTACAAAAAATAATTTGAATTGTTGTCATGTTTTCTGGAGGGTTTCAAATAAATACACTTTGAAGTGATGTTTGAATTGATGTATTTCCTACACTACAAAATAAACAGTGCTTTAGTAACTGTTGATCTCGTTTGCTTGTGCCTAACTGCAAGAAAATACACAATGGGCTCATTTCCATCGAAGGTAGCGATTCAGTCCATTAGCTACGTCATCATACATTCTTTACGTGACGCACTGGTTGTTACGTCATCATACTCTTCCGCACGTGACACGCTGGTTGTCATAGTAACAGCCGTGCACGTCTGGGACTCAGTGTTGCTGTAGGCAACAGTCGGGCCAGGTACAGATGTGCTCGCACTTTCTCTCCTCCTGCGGTGGCACCAAACTGCGAGAAAAACGGTCGAGGTGAGCAGACCTCCGATCAACGCCCCCAGAAACCCGCTGATGAGGACTAGATGAGTGTAGGAGCAGAGAGAAGTGCTTGCATAGCTGTTTGCTATTCCTGAAGTAAAGTAAGCGTCACCCGTAGTTGTTTGGTTAGATGTATGGTTAGATGTTTGGGTAGTTGTTTGGGTTGCTGTTGCGGAAGATGTTGATACCACTGATGTTGAAGTTTCCATCTCAACAACAGCTGAGGGAGTTAAAGCTGATGTCGTATCCTCACAGATCAGATCGTCAGCATTTACACCCGACAGTAAGTTTTTTCCTCGCAGGTTAGCAGGACCGACACAGGTGATCTGGTTATCAAATGGATGGTCACCGTTCATCCTTAGCTTAAAGGGAAGCATCCTGCAGTCACACTGCCAGGGGTTGTTGTTAATGTGTACGGATGGGACGGAGGCAAGAATATCGTATGCCACGGAAGGTAGCGTCGCCATTTGGTTGGAGTCCATTCTAAGGGTGTGAAACCCTGAACTCAGATGCAGATCTGACAAGGCTTCAGTAGGGAACTTGTTGATACGGTTGTGCGATAGGTACAACCATTGAAGCCGGGATAGAGTTGCAAGTGCGCCAGCTGCGATGTTGCTGATGTTGTTGTACTGAAGTTGAAGCTCGCGGAGTTGCGGGGTGGCGTTGAAGGTTCCTGCCTCGATACTGTGGATGTTGTTGTGATACAGATAAAGTATCTGAAGGCTATCAAGTCCCACAAACATGTCAGATCGGAGACTGGTTAACCGGTTATTGTAAAGATACAAGTGAGTTAACCTGGTTAGGTTGTAGAACGCTCCGCTGTTGATTAGGGAGATCTGGTTGTATTGAAGTTGTAATGTTGTCAGTGTGCTGTGCCTGGAGAAGTCGGACTGGTTTAAGGTTGTGATGACGTTGTAGTGCAAGTAAAGCTCAGTAACGTTTGTTGGCAGGTCCTGGGGAACACTGGTGAGGCCTCTACTATAGCAGTAACAACGCGATGAACAGCTGCTGCTGCAGGCTGCGGTCGGGCCAGCTTCCGCCAGGAGGATCAGCAAAAAAACCAACACCATTCTTATCGTGTACATCTTGTACATGTTTTACGTGTTACCTGTACAGTAGAGAGGTAATACAATCTTATAAGTAACTGATATATAATGTACACATTACACTTAATTACACCTTTTTTATTTTTTTTTATTTTGGTATCTAATGAAATCTGAAACAATAGCTATTCATATTTGACCCATCTGGGGCCTGGTATTGTATCAGATATTTTACTTATTTATATATAAGAAATATGTAGAATCATTTATAAAAGCTAGAAGCGTTTAATTAAATTTAGTGCCATCACACTAGGCAATTGCAAATCAATTAAGTTTGATGTTTTTTATCTAATAACTTTTAAGTAGTTCGACAAGTTGTCTGAAATAAGTTTGATATCATGCTGTGCTAATACAATCTCTGATCAATACGTGACAGTTCCTGCCAGTGAAAACAGGCGACTGTCACCTGATAGTGTTTGCCTTTGGAGACTGTGACATATGTACAAAACAAATGAAAATACCAGATCGTATCAAGTGACTAAAAACAATAGAAAAACAAACTCTGAGTTTCACCTGCCCAACAGCAAAAACATGAAGCGCCCCTGTTGTACCTTGTGAGAATGCTGGAAGGCGTCGGTCACTATATAAGGAAAACACAGGTACGTTTGGTGGTCGGCAGCAGAATTACCTGATGAAGAATCTTCGCTCCCCCCTATATATAGCTACCGCCCTCCCTCCCTGTTGTGGTATTTGTGTAGCCTCTGAAATATAGTCAAGGTTACAAGTTGTTCGACGATGGTGTAACGTGGTGTTTCGACGTTAGACGCACCCACCGGTTCAGTCAGTAGTCAGGTCTGCGTTGTCCTCGGTACCGGTACAGACACGCAGGGAAAGGACATCGCGATCGGCTGTGTTCGTCTGAACTTGCGTAGAAACCTTCAACCTTTCACCTTCGGTCTTAGCTCCGAATGCCCCACCTGAAATTTATAGTAGTACTAGTAGCTCACTGTTCCGTACATGTTCTATGGATCTGGCCCTACTCTGGTTGTGATGTCGTCCTCTACTATCTTCTTCTTCTTCTTCTTCTTCTTCCTCTAACAACCCCGTAAGGGGTATCGCTGAGGGGGGGGGGGAGTGCGTGGACCTTACAGTAGAGAGGCCCGAAAGGCCTCCACAGATTGTGCCTGTACGGCCTGGGCAGGTAAACTGTTCCACTCTCGTATCGAGCGTGGGAAAAATGAGAATTTGAAACAGTCTTTCGTTGCAGGAATAATATTGTATTTAAAGGCGTGGCTACCTCTGGTGCGCCGCTGTGCAGGAATAAGATATTGTTCAGAGGGTATGTGCATGTGACCGTGAGTTATTTTGAACATTGTAGTCAGACGTGCCTCTCTTCTTCTGTTTGCAAGAGTGGGCCATTGGAGTTTTTGCAACATTTCGGTCACACTACTGGTGCGGGCGTAGTCATTCATGACCATCCGGGCTGCCCTGCGTTGTACGCGCTCAACTGCCTGCACCCCACCAGCTGTGTAGGGGTCCCACACTGAGGCGCAGTACTCGAGTTGAGGGCGTACCAGGGCTTTATAGCAAGTGTTTTTGACTTGCGATGTGCAATGGTATAAGTTACGCCGGATAACTCCCAAGGTCCTGTTTGCCTTACCAGTAGCGTGAGCAATGTGAGCATCCCAACGCATGTCGTTGGAGATGTGAACTCCCAAGTAAGGGTACGATTTTACAGTCGTAAGATTTACCGAGCAAAGACTATACTGCGTAACAAGTGGTCTACGTTTGCGTGTAATGTGAATAGTATGACATTTGGCTGGGTTAAAATTCATTTGCCAACGATCCTGCCACTCGGTCAGCGCATCCAGGTCGGCCTGTAAGCCCTGGGCGTCTGTCGGGCTCTTAATAACCCGGTATAACAAACAGTCGTCGGCAAACAGACGTACGTTACTATTAACTATGTCGGGCAAATCATTTATATAAAGGAGAAAAAGAAGCGGGCCCAAGACCGTGCCCTGAGGCACACCGGACGTAACCCTTGAGGGTTTGGAGGATTCGCCGTCGAGAACTACGGTCTGTGTCCGCTCCGTTAGAAAGGCTTTGAGCCAGGACAAGATGTGTCCCTTGATGCCGTAGTACTGGAGCTTACTCAGCAGGCGTTGATGCGGTACCGTATCAAACGCCTTGCTGAAGTCCAGCACCACGGCATCAATTTGAAGGTTTTGGTCAAGACCATGTGCTAGATCATGGGTAGTTACTAGTAGTTGGGTCTCACACGAAAGTCCTTTTCGGAAACCATGCTGTACCGGGCATAAAATATTGTATTTGTCAAGATGGGACATTATATGGCAGTGCACAATATGTTCTAAAATTTTACTACAAACAGACGTCAGTGAGACTGGCCGGTAGTTTGCTGGCGCAGCCTTGTCACCTTTTTTATAGATAGGTGTGATGTTTGCAGACCTCCAATCTAGAGGCACATCACCAGTGGTTAGGGATTGTGTGAAAATGACTGTTAATATAGGTGAGACCTGAGTAGCTACAGTTTTTAATAGCCTAGGTGATAGCCCGTCTGGGCCCGTTGCTTTATTTGGATTTAAATTTGTGAGTAGCTTGGCTACCCCTTCCACTGATACCTTGAGCTCTGGTGTGGTCGGTACTGAAGGTTCACCAAGGGTTGGGATGATATTAGTGTCTTCCTTAGTAAAAACCGACTCAAACTGTTCTGTATCTGCCATTAGGGCGAGACCGATCTAGTTTGATTCTAACGTTATGCGAAACCGGAAGTCCCCAGGTGAAGTCTCACCTTTTCCCGCGCGGAGGCGTCTGGGAAGGATTCTTTCCGTCCGGACTGTCCCATTTGAATGGGGAGAGGAGGTGGAAGCGTCAGATTCAGGACACAATCACAAAAGTGGATTTATTTCAAACCTACAACAACGCACAAAATGATCTTGAAAGATGCCAAACTTGTAGTCAGAGCTGCAACTTTAGTCCTCAAACAAACAGTATATAACATCTATATGACACAGCAATACAAATACGGAACGGTTTCTCTTCCAAAACAAATCAAAATCCGAATGTAAACGTGTAAGCTGCAGATTCCGTTGTGAAACAAGCTCACTACTAAAAAAACGTACACGCAGTAAACAAAGTAATACTGGCTAAACACATCATTCCACATCGTGGTAAAGTGAATTCTTAAGTCTCACTCAAACATCACACTGCAATGAAAATATAATCATGGAATATTCCATTTCGCTATTCTACTTCACCTACAGCTTGGACATTTCACAATTCTGTTCTCGATTCGATTTTTAAAGTCTGCTAAAAAGCAGTTGTCAAAGTCTCATCCCGTGTAGTAAAGTGATCGTGATTTTAGTCCGGTTGTTTTCTTGTTGATTTCCTCGATCAGCTTGTTGTTTGTCTACAAACCAGGCAGACCTTTGGGCAGACCAGACGGGCAGGTTTGCTGATAGATGAAATGCCTGCTGAGAGGGACGGAGATGTTCGCAGCAGCATCACCATGTGCAGCTTCTGGCACGTTCCGGACATCACCTCGTGGTCCCGCTGTCTTTATAGGCGGGAGTGGAGCCCGCAGAACCGCGGAACTCTTATCCAAGCTGCGCGGAGGCGGGACCGTCCCTGATGTTCCTGGTCGACTCTCTCCGTCATCCAAGCTGCGCGGAGGCGGGACCGTCCCTGATGTTCCTGGTCGACTCTCTCCGTCATCAGAATGTGCTGCCCGTGACGGTGAGGCGCCCTGCCCTGTGTGATGCCGGCCGCTGGTCGGGCCGGTAGCGGCGCCGTTTGGGTTGCTGGAAACACCACTGGGGTCCGGTACAGGAGCAGGGCGCGTTTTGGCTCTCATCTTTATGCACCAAATTGCAAGGAAAATGACCAAGATGAGAAAAGATCCAAGAACCCCGCCAAGAAAACCGCTGAGGAAGGCGGAGAGGGAGAAAGAAGCAGGAGAGGTACTGTCCGTAGAACCGGTCTCTTCACAGTTCAGATCTTCGGGCTCTACAACTAACAGTAGGCTTTTTCCTTCAAGGTGTTCAGGTCCGGCACAGCGGATCTGTTTTTCAAAGTCCCGGAAACCGGTCATCTTTTGCTTGATGGGAAGCATCCTGCAGTCACACTGCCAGGGGTTGTTGTCAATGTTAACATATGAGATGGAGAACATGATGTCATATGCCGCGGATGAAAGTGTCTCCATCTGGTTGTGGTTCATCCTTAGGTTTGAAATATTTGCAAGTGATGGGGACTCAGGGAAAATGGTGATGTTGTTTTGATCCAGGTAAAGATACCGTAGGTTATCAAGTCCCACAAACGTGTCCGATCGGAGAATGGTTAACCAGTTATAGCTAACGGAAAGGGTTTCAAGCCCAGGCAGATTGAAGGTTCCTGCCTCGATACTGTGGATGTTGTTGTGATGCAGATAAAGTATCCGCAGGCTCTCAAGTCCCACAAACATGTCAGATCGAAGACTGTTTAACTGGTTATTGTGAAGGTTCAGCTGTTGAAGCTGTGGGGTGGCGTTGAAGGTTCCTGCCTCGATACTGTGGATGTTGTTGTCGTACAGATTAAGTTCCAGAAGGGTATCCAGTCCCACAAACATGTCCGATCGGAGAATGGTTAACTGGTTATATCTAAGCCACAGGCCAGTTAAGCTGGATAAGCCGTAGAACGCTCCGCTGTTGATAACGGAGATCTGGTTGTGATAAAGCCATAACCTTGTCAGGTTGCTGTACCTGGCGAAGTCGGACTGACTTAAGGTTGTGATGGCGTTGTGACTCAGGTCCAGCCTAGTAATGGTTGTCGGCAGGTCCTGAGGAACACTGGTGAAGCCACTGTTGTCGCACCAACACCATGATGAACAGCTGCTGCTGCAGGCTGCGGTCGGGCCAGCTTCCTTCAGGAGGATCAGCAGAAAAACCAACATCATTTTCATCTTGTCGGGAATTTTGCCTGTACGAAAAATATGGTTCACAAATCCGTCTGGAGTTTTCTGTGTCCGGTGGTCCCGAACTCAACCCTGTAACTGCGCAGCACGTATTAAGTACGGGCGTGTCTTTGTGTACACTGTTTATTATTACTCTCTCGTTACGTAACACTACTGTGTCTATTCAGAGAGAGTTACCTGAGCAGGTTCTATTCATAGAAGTCACAATTCACATCCCTGACCTCTTGATCTTGAAGTAACCCTGCTACTTCCGCCATTATTTTCATGTAACACAAGGTATTTATTTATTGTATGGACGCGTCTTTGTTCTACTCTCCAATTACTTTGTGGGCAAGAAACTACAGTTGGCCGGCTCGTAACCAGTTGCCCCGGTAATCTGCTTGGGGATTATCTTTGTTAAGAAAAAAGTGTTGCCTACGGACCTGTAATAAGATTATCCGTGCGTGTCAGGGACGCCCCCTAGCGATTCAAGCTATTTTGCCACTGCTCATTGCAGTGAGGATTTTTAAGCTACATGACAACAATGACAACAGAATTCGAGATGATTGCAAAAGTAGATTTATTTCAATGTCTCAAACAACCTGACAACCATGACAAAAACAACACAAAACAATCAGGAAAGATGCCAAAGTTGAAGTCACAGCTGCAACTTTCGTCTTAAAACAAACACTTGAAAATACTGACACACTGCAATTTCAGTTGGTTTTACAGTACAGGAGACAATGTAAACACATCTTCCACGTGAAACAATTGGCTCTAATTTCAAGTCTCCAGCAAACATCACAACAACACAAATAATCAACAAGCCAATTTCTCTCATAAAACACATCAAATCTTGTAAATGTCTGAAGTCAGAGTTGCAGATGCCATTGGCAAACAAACTACTTGAAAATCTTACACACAAAGTGATACTGGCTAAATACATGATCATTCCACGTAACACAAGTGGTACCGTGCAGTTTCGGGTCTTGGGTAAACATGACAGCAATACCCATGCCAGTCATTTTCTCTTCCAGAACACATCACAACTTCTAAGTGTCTCAAGTCAGAGCTGTAGATTGTATTGTGAAACATTCTGCTAAAACTCGTACACAATAAACAAAGCCAGGCTAAAACCCTGAACACATCATGCCATGTAGCACTAAACATCACCAAACATCACAGCAATACCAATACAAGTCACCTCTAAAACACATCACATCTAAACGTGTAAAGTCAGAGCTTGTGAAAGGCACTTTACACAACTTTCCTCTCTGTATGGTGGAGTGACACCCACCAAGCCTCTTCGGCCAGTCTTTCAAAATGTGTGCCAAAAGCACACTGTAAATTTGGTGCGCCAATGCGCCAACATCTAAACATTTGCCACTGATATTATCGTGGAAGATTTCATTCTGTAAAAAGTGCCTTTCTGGTTTCTGCACAAAGTTTTCTGCACAAACATTTCTGGGTTCAATTTTAATTTCCACTTCTTTAAAATGAAAGGCAATTGTCAAACAGGATTACAATAGCCTGGGTGCCATCCGATTTGTATACGGCTACCCACAAAAAATTTTTCGGGGTAGCCGTTATACAAATCGGATGGCACCCAGGCTAGGATTACAAGCTCGGTGCAGTTTGAAGTTGACAAACTATGCAGACCTTTGGGAAGTCCGGGAAGACAGATTTGCTCATTGATAAATGCTCCTTCATGCGTTCATAGTTGTTGGCAGCATCAGTTGGTGATCTAAGAACTTCCGTCCTTCATAGGCGGGAGTGGAGCCCGCAGAACCGCGTAACTCTTACCAAACATCTGTCCTCACTGTCTGTACAGTAACACGGAACTTTTGAATGGCTTCCATGAGCCTTGTTTTGTGGTGAACTATGAAATAAAAAGAAGAGCTGCGTGGAGGCGGGACCGTCCCTGATGTTCTTGGTCGACTCTCTACGCCATCAGTATGTCCTGCTCTAAATCGGTTACTTGTGACGCGCCCTGATCTGTACGGCCGCTGGTCGGTCCGGCAGCGGCGCCGTTTGGGTTGCGGGAAACATCACTGGGGTCCGGGACAGGGGCAGGGCTCGTTTTGACTCTTTTCTTTAAGCACCAGGTCGGAAGGCAAATGGCTGAGATGAGAAAAGATCCAACAATCACGCCAAGGCCAAATGTGAGGAAGGCGGAGAAGGAGAAAGACTGAGCGGGAGCGGTACTGGTACTCCCAGTGGAACCGGTCCCAGTACTAGTACTCCCAGTGGAACCGGTCCCAGTACTAGTACTCCAAGTGGAACCGGTCCCAGTACTAGTACTCCCAGTGAAACCGGTCCCAGTACTAGTACTCCCAGTGAAACCGGTCCCAGTACTAGTACTCCCAGTGGAACCGGTACCAGTACTAGTACTCCCAGTGGAACCGATACTGGAAGAAATACTGCTGGTCTCTGCACAGATCAGATCTTCGGGATCTACAGCTAACAGTAAGTTCCCTGCAAGGTGTTCAGGTCCGGCACAGGTGATTCGCTGTTCAAAACTCAGAGACCCGTTCATCCTTTGCTTAAAGGGAAGCATCCTGCAGTCACACGGCCAGGGGTTGTTGTTGATGTTCACATTCGAGAAAGAGGACAGGAGGTCATATGCGGCGGACGGGAGGGTCTCCATTTGGTTGTTGTTCAGTAAAAGCGTTGACATTGCATGCGACGTATTTGCAGTCGATAGGGCCTCAACGGGGATAGTGCTGATGTTGTTGTGAGATAGGCCTATGTATTGGAGCGCTCGCAAATTTTCCAATGCCCCAGCTGATATGCTGTTGATGCTGTTGTTATCCAGGTAAAGGTACTGCAGATTATCAAGGTCCACAAACATGCCAGATTGGAGATTGATTAACTGGTTATTGCTAAGGGTCAAGAACCACAGGCTCTCAAGTCCCACAAACATGCCAGATCGGAGACTGGTTAACTGGTTATTGTTAAGGGTCAGGTAGGTTACCGTGGACATGATGTAGAACGCTCCGCTGTTGATTACGGAGATCTGGTTGTGATCAAGGTGTAACTCTGCCAGGCTGCTGTACCTGGAGAAGTCTGACTGACTTAAGGTTGTGATGGAGTTGTGACTCAGGTACAGGTGAGTGATGTTTGTCATCAGGTCCTGAGGAACACTGGTGAGGCCTCTCCTGCTGCAGTCACAACATGCACAACTGAAACAGTTCCATGCACATAATGACCATGAACAGATGTTACCGCAGCTTCGGGCTGCGACCGGATCAGTTTCCTTCAGGAGGATCAGCAGAAGAACCAACAACCTCTTCATCTTGATTGTGGTTTTGCCTGTACAATAGAGATGAGATGTTACAAGTCATGTGTACTAGACATCAAGAATTTATTTGTTTACTGGTAATGTATCAATGTGCTGTAAAAAATTGTAATAAAGAAAACAAAGTAGCATCTCGGCAAGTTACAGATACTGTTGTAAGGCGTCTTTACACCGAAGTTTACACAACATAATCCTACTTCTAAACGGCCTGTTACTTTCTGTTCTTTACGGCGCCGAACTACACTGGTGTAGCCTGGGTGCCATCCGATTTTTACCCCGAGGTAGCCGTTATACAAATCGGATGGCACCCAGGCTAAGTGTATTTCTGTAGGTGAATCTGCATGAAGTAAAAATGAATGCCGTCTTGTTTTTGGATAAATACCCCCTCAATTACAGATACTGTCAGTTTTTAAAACGTATCCATTCGCTTCAGTAACAAATCCTGGCGTATGTCGTAATCTGGATGTCTAACCTTCATCAACATAACTTAAACAGTGCTTTGTTTGTTTGTTTTATGTGTTAATTATGTAGTGGACTCCACCAATGCACAGCCAGCTGGCTTTGCGTTCTGCACTGTGCCAACTACACAAGTGTTTGTACTTCTGTTGCCAAAACTATCTAGACATGTCGTCTTGTTTGTATTAGCACAGTGCCTTTTCTAAGGACACAAAAGTGAGGCCTCCAAGGGATTCGAAACCAGAACCTTGTCTTTGTGCACACAATGTTGCCATAATACTCCCCTTACTACACTACACAACACAACATGTTTATTCAGGTCAGTGCTATCAAGTTAAATAAGTGCCTCATGTGACGCATAGGGCGGCGCCCATTTCCGTTTTAGTAACCCTGGGCCACACAGCAGTGCAATCACTACAGCAGGGGGCAAGTCCACTGATAGTGGTGTGCCCATACTCTTTCTCAAATGTATGACTCGTTCTTTGATCGAACTCACGACCTACCGAATGCAAGGCGAGCAGACTTCAAGTGACTGTAAGGTTTGAACCACTCATATCGGGAGGATCTCACTAATTATGGAGGAGTCTTAAACGTGCACAAGGTGTGGCTCTCCTCAAATACAGGTCCTCGGTCTTTACGTCGCATCCGAGAAGACGTCCCTAACCAAAGCTGGGAACTTATTTCCACCTGGGGAAACAGGTGTACAGTGCCTTTCTCGTGGAACACAAAAGTCAGGCCTCCCGGGGAGAGTTATCTTTGTCCACTGTTTATTGCCCTAAATTTCTCCTCGTTACCAAAAACCACCATGTCTATTCAGACAGAGGAATCGGAGCGGACTTCATTTGAAGTCCCAAGTTGACGCACGCCCACGCACTTGACCCGACTGGAAGAGAGGGTAACTTATTCTACAGGTAATCATGTTCACCTGAGTTGAGACAGAAATAGGCGCACATTGTCTTTCTCAATGGCTCAACATTTGGGCCTGCAGGGTATTCAAAACTAGAGCCCTGTCTTTGTGAACTCAATGTTGACACAAATTTCTCCTTGCTACCAAACACCACCATGTCTACAGCATTAGGCCACACCGTCTTAATTTTTCGGATGACCTCCTCCAAAGACCCCTAAAAAATTAGTGCGCGCGGGCGAATAAAAAGAAAAAATTCCGGCCAAAAATGAAAATGCTACTAAACCACAGGAATACAATGTACAAAGCTGGCATTGTGAATTTGCGGCAGTACATGGCAATGTATACACGCCGGTACATGCTGGCTTTTTGCGGAATTTATGATTCAACACTGTGCGTATGTACTGAGTTCTTGAGTCGTGGAGCTTCAGTAGCCTGGGTGCCATTCTCCAGGGTTACATGTTTGTACCATCGGCTCCGTATTGTCGCTAACTACTATGGACTATCCAGGCCTTGAGCCAGGTCAGAGCCTTGGAGGACGTGATCTCTTTTTTTTTGAGAACAGACGAAAAGCAATGCGCGCGCGGATAACATCCATGCAATTAAGACGGTGTGGCCTTATCATTATTATTGTGGCAGATTTTGCATTTTATTGTATGCTAATGTTGCGCAAATACTACTACTGTAAAGGTAATTTTACTTGTAACCAGTGACATACTAAGTTCTCACATGTAGTCTATTCAACCATGGTCTTTAAACGTTACTGAACAATGGGTACTGTTCTAACCTATCTTTGCATAGCTTTTTAATCGAAATAGTGAATCACATTTTAAATTTTGTGTGTAATTATGCACAATCAATGCAATGTATGAATTGAATCCCATATTTAATGTTATTTGACATGTTAAGTAAAGCTGAATCCGAATTTAGGCACGGTTCTGAATGAGGCACCTAATAGCACGAGCGCACTGGTACCTTTAACTGAATCTAAAAGTGAAACTACTATAAATATAAAAGCAAAACTTACCAAAAAGCAGTTTTCTTAGTTTTTAGAAGAGTTCCAGAAGCCCAAACAGCCCTCAGCTGTGTGAATCGCCTGCTCTCAGATATAAGCTTAAAGTAAGACTTCAGAAACCCGTCTGATGTTTTCTGTGTCCGGCCTTCCCGAACCCAAACTTGTAACTGGGCAGCACGTTTAACTGTGTGGGCGTGTCTTTGTGTACACTGTTTACCCTGTCGGTTATATAATACTACTGTGTCTATTCAGAGAGAGTTACTTGAGCAGGCCTCATTTATAGAAGTCACAATCCACACACCTGACCTCTTGGTCTTGAAGTAACCCTGCTACTTGCGCCATTATTTTCATGTAACACAAGGTATTTATTTATTGTATAGACGCGTCTTTGTTCTACTCTCCAATTACCAATGAGGGCAAGACACCATGTACAGTTGGCCAGCCCGTAACTCGTTGGCCCCGGTATTACAACTCATCTTAGAGATTTTCGTGGTCCAATCAGTGTTACCGCTGCTCATAATGAGATGCTTCCTGCAAAGAGGTTTTAGCCGCTAGGCGGGGCTTTTGAGGCATGTGTGCAGAATGGCAGAATGATATAACCCCATTGTTTAAACATATCATGCGACGAACATGTACGAATAAAATTATCATGTCATTCCTCTATCTGACCGGCATGTTTTAAAAGAAACCCATAAACCAACGAGGAACATTACATATAATTACAACATAAACATAAATGAACATATACATGTATCATATTGTATGTACATTTAACTGTTATATCTATATAACATCATCATTTGTCCCAACACCAATAGGCCAAGCAACGTTGTTGGCTAATGGACATTGCTTGGTAGATTTGAGATTTCCTTTGAGCATCGTTGAATCTGCTAGGTATTACTTTTGTGGTTACTTTTCAAGATAGTTTTGAGAAAAACTAGTATCATACATGATCTTGGTACGATTTGAATTTCGCGCGCTGCCCACCACCTCTCGCATCCTCCCGCGAGAGCCGGCGAGACTTGTGACGTCATATGGCGGAAGTTGGATTCGGGGTTGGAACTTTTCAGTCGTCAGTAGTGATATTTATTTTGGGAGGGGACAAAAACCGGCTGTATAGAAACCTTTCTCCTGCTGCAGAAATGGCACAGAAATGCCGATTGGACAGCTGAAAGACTTACCAAGGACTGTGACTTGTTGTATTTTCTTACGGCAGTGTTTTTACGAAGTAACGACTACACTAGTACTAGAAGTCCCGCCCACTTGCTGATAATATTTTGTGGATCCTGAGTTCGGTACAACTGGTGGCCAGCTTTCCGGTGAGTCTGGTGGATTTCTACACTTGTAGATGAACAGTTGTTGTACATTTGACTCCACAGAAGTACGACATTCTTTCCTTATTTATGTGTAAACTTGACTCAATCGTCACAAGACTGCGAAATCGGGCTTCTTGGAACTTCCCGAGTTGGGGTCACAGAGAGTTCACGATTTGGGAGGAAGTCTCGGCTTTAGTATAAAAGCGAGTGGAATTAAGGCTTCTTTTGCGTACAGGTACAATTTTAAGGGACTGGCTCCTGGTATAAGTGAGCTTACAGGTAAGTTTGGGGTTGGGATTGTTCTGTTGGGGTTTGTGGCGTTGTTTTTGGTTCAAGTTTAACAAATAACAAGTAAACAACACAGAGAGTTCACAGTTTGGGAGGAAGTCTCGGCTTTAGTATAGAAACGGGTGGAATTAAGGGCTTCTTTAAATGTGTACAGGTATAATTTTGAGGGACTTACTGCCCGTACAGGTGAGCTTGGTTGGTCGCTAAGATTTTTCTGTTGGCCCCGGGGGTTTGTGGCGTTGTTTTGGGTCAAGTTTAAGGTTACAACAACACATTTATGAAGTTTCTTGCCGGCGGAGTTGAACTTTGGAAAAGTGTAGAACAAAAGTCACCATGTCACGTACACAGGGGCAGGAAATGACTCTGCTCTTTGACATCCTTTTCTTGTAATTTGGATTTACAGGTTTTTATGTTAACGTTACATTAATTTTTGAACCCTTTTATTTTATAATTACTAAGACGTTAGCTATTTTGTTGAGTCCTCGGCTGTTATACAGTGCCTGAACATTCAGTGCCTAGAGAATCTGTGCTGTAATCTGAGCCTTAAGAATTGTAGCTGTAATCTGAGCCTTAAGAATTGTAGCTGTAATCTGAGCCTTAAGAATTATAGCTGTAATCTGATCCTTGTAGTTGTAATCTGATCCTTGTAGTTGTAATCTGATCCTTGTAGTTGTAATCTGACCCTTAAGAATTGTATCTGTAATCTGACCCTTAAGAATTATAGCTGTAATCTGATCCTTGTAGTTGTAATCTGATCCTTGTAGCTGAGCCTGTAATCTGACCCTGAATTTTAGCTGTAATATGATCCCTGTAGTTGTAATCTGACCCATATACATGTAATCTGACCCTTCCTTTATCTCATGACCAGTACTGAACCACGATCCTTCCTTCCTTCCTTTGACAGGACTTCAGTAAGTTAAACACTTACGGTGTTCACAATCACAACTTCACATTGATTTATTTAGAGACATGTTCACAGCTCCAGTGCTAGTCTGGGTGCCAGACTGTTGCCAGGGCC